ATAACAGTTCTATACTCACTGTGTATAAGTAGCTGGACCAGGAAGAGTGCCCTGGTATATCCCATACGTATTTGTTATTTATCCTATACCTCAGTTTATCCAATGAAAGGAAAAAATATTTAATCCTAAATAAATAATAAGTAATCATTTAAGAACAAAAAATTATTTCCACTGTCCACTAGCAATAGATGTGAGGTATCTCCACAAAACACACACCTCTTTCCAGATTAAAAAGCTGGACGATCCATTCTATACATTGAAATAGTGAGATGAAATTGAAGATCTGACAACATTTGGAAAGTGAAGCAGAGGGGATGATGTTCATGGCAGTCTGTTGCTGGGAGGAAGGTGTCATGTAGGCCCAGATGGTCACTGCATCGCAAGACTTGGGAAGGCAGATCATCAGGATACAAACAAGGCTCCTTTGCCTGGATCAGGTTGGAAAGATTCAGCATGGCTACACTGCCAAGAGATGCTTTAACAAGTCTTGGTGTCCAAGTAACATGACTAGTCATCAGAACAACTGGGAGAACTAATAAGGTCAAGAGATAAACACGTGAATAAACACAAGAGAAGAAGGGCCAGAAACGGATTCTTCCACACATTTTGACCATCCACCAAGAGGATTCAAGGGAAAGAGGCTACTTATTCTTTCAACACCACTGTTAGAAAGAAAGCTGGCTGTGTGTGTGGAAAAACATGAACACTGGGCTTCAACTGACACCACACATGGACATTCATTGGAAATGTGTCACAGACTTCAGTATAAAACGAAAAGAATGTGATTTCTGAAAGAAAGAGCAACAGAAAGTCTTTCCAGTGAAGGAAGCGCAGCTGATCTGGTTCAGGATAAATGCACATAAAAAGGGGGAAATAACAAATCAGTTTTCAGTAACGTAAAACTCTGTGAACCTTGGAAAGATGGCCTTAAGAAAGGGTAGTCTCTGCCTGGGAGAAATCACTTAAGTACATGTATCTAATTTGTCTGGAATACTAGAGGTCTGTATTTGAGGGTAAGGACTTGTGTCTAGAACACTAGTCAACAAATGGCAATTGGCAAATGTTCACTGGTGGGTGGGAAGGAAAGTCATGATCAAAGACACTGTCTACAGAAGAGAAGTAAGACAAAGAAAAAACCACTCCCATATCCCCCTTCTCTTGCTCCCTTCTTCCCACCTAAAAAAAAAAAAAGATTATGGCGAAAGCCTGAGACTCGTGGAGCAGGGGACACCGCCGATCACCGGGGCCGCGCGACCAGGACGCAGTGATGAAGCCAGGTTTCAGCCCCCGTGGGGGCGGCTTTGGTGGCTGAGGAGGCTTTGGTGACAGAGGCGGTAGAGGAGGAGGACGAGGCGGACGAGGAGGCTTTGGCAGGGGACGAGGAGGCTTTGGTGGAGGTGGAGGTCGAGGTCGAGGTGGAGGTGGAGGCTTCAGGGGACGAGGAGGTGGAGGAGGAGGAGGTGGACGAGGTGGAGGCTTCCAGTCTGGGGGCGGCCGGGGTCGAGGTGGTGGCCGGGGAGGCAAAAGAGGCAACCAGTCAGGGAAGAATGTCATGGTGGAACCGCATCGGCATGAAGGTGTCTTTATCTGTCGAGGAAAGGAGGATGCCCTTGTCACAAAGAATCTGGTCCCTGGAGAATCCGTATATGGGGAGAAGAGAGTCTCTATTTCAGAGGGAGATGACAAAATTGAGTACCGAGCCTGGAACCCCTTCCGTTCCAAGCTGGCAGCAGCAATCCTGGGAGGCGTAGACCAGATCCACATCAAACCAGGGGCAAAGGTGCTCTACCTTGGGGCAGCCTCAGGCACCACCGTCTCTCATGTCTCTGATATTGTTGGCCCGGATGGTCTGGTCTATGCAGTTGAATTCTCCCACCGTTCTGGCCGTGACCTCATCAACTTGGCCAAGAAGAGGACCAACATTATTCCTGTGATTGAAGATGCTCGGCATCCACACAAATACCGCATGCTTATCGCAATGGTGGATGTGATCTTTGCTGATGTGGCGCAACCAGACCAAACCCGGATTGTGGCCCTGAATGCCCACACCTTCCTGCGGAATGGAGGACACTTTGTGATTTCCATTAAGGCCAACTGCATCGATTCCACGGCCTCAGCAGAAGCTGTGTTTGCATCCGAGGTGAAGAAGATGCAGCAAGAGAACATGAAGCCCCAGGAGCAGCTGACGCTCGAACCCTACGAGCGGGACCACGCTGTGGTTGTAGGTGTGTACAGGCCACCTCCCAAAGCGAAGAACTGAACCCAGAGCTGTCCGGATTGGAAGAAATGTGTGTTGCTACTGTTGCACGTGTAGTTTTTTTCTATTAAAAGACTCAACTGTCAAAAAAAAAAAAAGATTATATATTTTTCTTTATGAATATTTTGCCTGCATGCATGTATGTGCACCACATGTGTGTCTGGTTTCCTGCTGCCCACAGAGTCCATAAGAGGGCATCAGATCTCCTGGAGCTGGCATTAATGGCCAGCTGAGAGCCACTATGTGGGTGCTGGGAACCTAATCTGTGCCCTCTACAAAAGCCAGAAGTGCTCTTAATCACTGAGCTATCTCTCCATCCCACTCCACCTCCACCCACCCACCTCAACTTCTGCTTGCTTTTTGGAACAGTTGTGTAGAGCATCCTGAAACATTTTAAGTAGCCCAGGGTGGTTTTGAACCCGTGGCCCGCGTAGCTCAGCCTTATCTTGAATTGTTTGGCTTCAGACTGAGGTTGGAGGAACATGTACAATGTAATGAGTTGCTTTCCCCTTGAGTGAAAACTGGGAGAAGAAAGTGAATGGACCTGATTAGTCCCTGGTTAGACTAATTTAATTCTCAGGGTAGACGACAGTGCACTCTGACAGTGATTGCCCTGATAAATAAATCAGGAAGTCCTATGAAGTGGAAATCCCTCTCACCTGGCTCATTGGATTTTTTTGCATCTGACTGGCTGGATTGGGTGGGGGAAATGCAAGGGCCTGATATTTTGGGGAGGAATTCTGGTGACTTTCATGTCTCTCCACAGGAAGTGATCTGCTTTCCAAACCTTCGGCCAGATGTTCAGTTCCTCTAATCCACTCTTTTTAATGCCTTTAATAGCCACATACAATATTCGACCCTTTCCTTTCACACTCTGGAATTAGAACAAAACAAACAAACATACAAAAAAAACTATCTTTTTTGTGTCTTCTGGGCTCAGCTCATCTATTTTCTGCTGTACAACTATGTCAGTTCCTGGAGTAAGGGTTCAGATTCCTTCTTATGAACAGATCTTAACTTACTGCTTCCCTAAAAAAATCCAAAGAAAGAGCTATTCCAGAAAATAAGCACTTTACTGTACACCTAATTATAGCTATAAATAAAAACTATTACAAAATGAAGACCTGCACTTTACAGTTTGTGGATATCAGCTCTGTGGCTACCTGTGGAAGGCATAGGTGTCCAGTGGGAGTGGGAATGTGTTAAGTGCAGAATGTGTGTATGTATGAGTGTGTGTGTGTGTTCAGGAATGTGAGTCTTTGTGAGTGTGTGTATGAATGTTCTGAGACTATCTGTCGTGGACATTTGTGCTTCAAGCTCCTGGGCACTTTCTAGGCTCATCTGGTGCTCTTAGAAATTACCACACATTGTCAGCATCAATCGTCAATTACTTTCCAAAGGCTATAGTTTGGGCAGTCTATCCATCTCTAGAGAGAACTCCATTGTAGAGAAACTAGAGAGTGGCCATCCTAGGGCATGAACTTGCACTCTGTGTTTACTCTAGGTTTTTCGTGACCTTAGACGAGTCACTTTTTGATCTCATCCTGGAGAATATTCCTTGCATAACTTAATCATTTGATTATGAATCAAACTAGGTAAACATATGAAAATATTCTGGAAAATTTAGGCATTTTACAGATGTGTGACAGTGTTTTGTGTTTTTTTTTGGGGGGGGTGGGTGGAAATAGAATTACACTCATGAAAAGCAATTTCTGGATGTTCAAAATGTAACACATATAATAATGAGATCGCATGCACATTGACCAACATCAAAAGTAAATCCTGCAGATGTTTTGTCTTGCAATCTGTCAGTCACTGAGACTAATAAAATTAGTACTTAATTCTTAATCTCAGCGATGGCTCTCTGAACAATTTTGTGACCTAGTGATGACTACCTTTCCTATATAATTTCATAAATATTACATTATTGATTTGGTAACATGTCAATTGTGTGCATTCTTTTTGTTATCCAAATATCTATGTTCGTTTTCTGTAAAAGTGGATGGGGAAAAGCCTCAGAGGCCTCAACCCTACACAAAAAAACTACAGGCAACTGAGCAAAGCTGTGAGTGGGATAGATAGCTCTGCCCAGGGAAGAGCACATTAATTGGTTATGCAGTACCAAACAGTCAGCCCTGCAAACATATATACAAATAGCCTAGTATGGACTCAACAGGCTATATTTAGCAATATATGTGTATATACAAATACACATATGCATGCAATGACAATTGATGAAAAAAGAGACCACAAATTTGAAGGAGAGTGGGGAGGGGTATATGGGAAGGTTTTGAAGGAGAAAAGAGAAGGAAGAAATGTAATTAATTAATCTTAAATGTTGTAATTAACACACTAAAAAAAACCCACAAAAAATGTGGATCTTTTCATGATAAGATTTATTTAACAGAATATTTTATTCCAGCAAGTTTTTAGGACTTAGATTTTAAAAACATCTGGGGACACGTGTGACCCTTTTGTGAAAATATCCCATCTTGGGTTTGAAATGTTATTAGGTAGACTTGGTAAGGGGCTTCCTACTGTGCCCCTCCCCTGCTGCCCACATCTGTATAGGGTGTGAAGGAAATGAGGCAGATTGTTTTTAAGGTGAACAATAAACAGGATCTTGACTCATATAACTAAGTTTGAAAATATTCATTTTTGAAAATGACCACACAGGAATCACTGTTTTTATTGATAGCATAGTTTATTACATCAACCAATGAATGAAACCTTACCTTTCCATTTCCACTAAGTTGCAAGCAACACAGATTTCTTAAAATAAATCTTACACCTGACAGTAAGAGAAAACATGAGAAACTATTTGATCAATGAAAAGTGTTTGGATGTAACCAATATTCCATGAGACAGCTAAGCAGGGACACTTGGGGAGGTAGACAAAATGAGGAACAGCAAGGGACTAGGCTCTGCTCTTCCTACACTAGCGAAGAGATTTAGGGTCAAATTACTTGTCATTTTGCAGTTTGGGATTGACTCAACAATGCAGTGGAGTGTTTTGAGGAACTTCAGCAAAGGTTCATTTTCTTTTGTTCTGCAAAGACTGAAACTAAAACCACATTTTCAAGGTTCTCACATTCACACTGCAGATAAAACCTGAATGTATAGACAGCATCTCACATCTATTTACTTGTTGGCTAGACTGGTAAAAACACAGAAAGCAGAATGGAAAGAGGTCTTCCTTCAGGGTCTACTAGAGATTGGCTCCAGGAATACCCAGATACCTAAATCTTTGGACTGGAGGTTCTTTATAAGAACTGGAGTATATTTGCTTACAACTACTGAAATTCTTGTAAATGTTTTGTCATCTTAAGACTACTTCTAACACCTCATCAACAAAAAATGCTATGCAAATAATTGTTACACGGTATTATTTAGGAAATATTGAGAACATGTCTACATACTATAGATATGCGTGTATTTTGGGATGTTATTGTTCAGTGATTGAACCTACGGATTCACACATGGCATTCAGAGGCCAGTCTACATAGAAGCACAAAGTGAAACAAGGCAAGACTCCTGGTGTATCAGCTTCTAGACTTTTGTCCTGGCAAAGAAGCTTCTCAGCGAAGTAGACACTGGATCATTCTCTAATTAAAGAAAAACAAAATACAGAAGCAATGGTTACTATCTGGTAAAATATTATAGACTGATACAAATGGAAATGTATAGACTTAAAACAATCCTAGCAAGCACACTCTGAGAGAATACATCAGTAGTTTCATGGTTCAAGAAGGAATGGAATTCACCAACTTGTCATAAATCCCACAGTATTTTTCAGAATTAAGACTAGAATTTAAATATCTAGAGTCCAAGCTCAATGTTCCTCCATTGATACTGAACTTCCCATTTTACATAGGAAGAGGGCGTCGTTCTATCATTCCAGCCCTCCAAGGAACTAAGATTTTGTTTGGTTGCTTTGTTCTCCTTATACATTTCTCTACATGCTGCTTTGAGTCTCGGCATGATTTCCAGAATTCTCTGTAGAGTGGATCCACATCACAGTTCACTGAAGTATTCAACGCTGCTTAGTAAGGAGAAGAGGGCTCTCCATTCTCCTTTGACCTTGTTCCTTCCTGAGGAAGGACACTGAGTGCTGCTGGAGTTGGTCATTTGATTTTACTCTCCCTGCAGTTTTAATTCCTGGAAATGTCTGAGAAAAGGCTCAGAACAACTCTTTCCCTCTTGTGTCTGTCTCCTGAATCCCAGTGTTCTCATATCTGTTGCTGTTGCAGATTTTATATACAGAGGCTATTTAACACCCAAACAAAAACCTAAATCCCAAATGCCAAGCTATTTGTTTCACTACCCCAAATTACACTGATCTCCAGGTCACCCTAAAACAAAAACCTGGATTGTATTCCACGGAGACACTTTAAAAAGAACAAAACTGTCAAATCTTACACTGAGTTCTTAATGATTATTGATTTTCTGACTACCTTATTAACAATACCTATCATTTCTAACAGAGGATGAATTGTGCTTATCAGTCAAGTCTTGTTAGAAATACACTTTAATTCTTTTCATACTAACTATGTTAACTATAGGAAATTACACCAATTTTAGCAGAAGTCCCAGGAACTCTCATCTTATAAATGTCAGGGTAACCCATTTTCTCATACATGTATGACACAGGCTTGATTTTGTGTGTAATGTATTCCTGCTTCGCTACAAAATTAAGTCATTTAAAGGTGTAGGTGAACTTTGTTTTTAGTATGTTATTGAGCCCAGCAGGATACCTTTTTGAAATCTGAAAGAAAAGTGAGAAGGCCTTTGGTGAACTTGGACAAGATGGTACTCACGTGATATGGTTGGATGCTTCTTCTTCACAGTCAGTTTGAGATTTCAGCCTACATGTCAGGGGCTCACAGCAAAGGTTGGTACATTCCTACAAAAGAACAAACAAAACAATCTCTGAGTTTAGTACAAGAGAACAGTGAAAGATTTTCTTACTTTGTAGAGTATACTTTATTAATTATTTGAGAATTTCATAGAATATATCTCGATCATATTTAGCCCTGCTATTCTCCCTAGTTCCCTCCAGATCCAACCCGTTCCTTTCCATTCCCTCTCAACTTTGTGTCCTATTTTTGTTTGTTTGTTTGTTTGTTTTGTTTTTGAGACAGGGTCTCTCTATGCAGCCCTGATTCCCCTAGAACTTCCTATGTAGAGTAGGCGGGCCTTGAACTCACAGATCTGCCTACCTTTGCCTCCTGAGTGCTGCCTCCAGAACTGGTTTTCTTTTACTTTTAATAACCCATATTCTACGAAGTGAGGGTCCATCCACTGCAGTGCAATCAATTGTTATAGGGATAACCAACTGCTTTCTGATTGGACACAGGAGGAAACTCTTGCCTGGCACTGGAAACCTGGCCAAGAATCCATGGCCAAGGAGTTTACAAGACTGCTATTGTTATCCTGCTAGCTGGACACAATCAAACTTCCCACTGAATTCATATTTCTATGCCCATGGATTAGTGCAGCTCTCAGGCCTTATCAGAGAAGTTAACCTTTTTAAACCTATTTGCTCTGTTGTACCAATTCCAGTGACCATAACCAGGGAGAACTAATGATAGGAAGAAATGCTGCACTCAGTGAACACTGTCATTAAACATCAAGAGGGGAAAAATCACAAAGAATTTCCTCAAATGAATTTTGTCTAGAAGGTATTGCACTTAAATCTGTTGAAATTTTCAAGGATGAACATTGCTGTACTATCCAGTGAAAATAGAGGAAAATTTTCAAATTAAAATGAAATTTTTTAACCATGCCTGGATAATAATGTTATTGAAATGTGTAATGATTACACACACACACATGCACAGATGTACACATGCATGTGCATGCACAAACATACACATTTATATTAGTTAAACTCCATTTTATCAATAGAATACCTGTATTTCAACTATGAGTTTTCTTAGTCCAAAATGTAAGGTTGCCTGATCGTACAGATTAAAAGAAATACAATCCACCAAATTAAGGAACAGCTGCTGATATTTTGGTAAGTAGCAAAATTAGTAGATAATTTTGGCAGCCAAAATTGAAGCATTTAAACATGATTTCCTATTTATGTACACTGTGGATAAATGATAGATCATCATCATAAAGAAATATAGGAAACAAATAGCAAAAAAACCCACCCAATAAAATAAAGGATAGAGCAAAGAGTATCATGTTTATTTATGGGAAGTTTACTAAATACCATGAGACAAGGGAAAGATATATATGAAGATATAATAACTAAAAAGTATAGACTGTATTTTCTTGTGTATGGGATGTAATTACCTACATAGAATAAATTGGGGTCAACTCTTAAAGATATTTGATAAGTCACTAAGATAATAGTAAAATGACACTATGGGTAATAATAATAATAATAATCAATGAGTTATATCCTATGTCAAAAAGGAAACCTTAGACAGCACAAAAGAAAATATGAAAATTCTTCCAAACAAGTAATCAAATTCTAAACAATTACATTAAGAATCTGATACACAATTTGAACTTCTGAATAAATGCTCTGATGCACAGAAACCTAAGACACTTTCTGCACTGTCAAAGAGCTGTCAAAAATCATGGCTAGATCACAAGTTTCACATGGAGTCATCAGTTATTAGCCTGAAACTTGGAAATTTCCCGGTGACTACAAGGAATGCGGCAGGCTGTGGGTAACTGCTCCTTCTCTATATTTGACTTTGTGCAATCGTGTTATAAACAGATGCTGGTGGGTTTTTTTTTTCTTTTCTTTTTTTTTGTGTGTGTGCATGTGCATGTGTGCTTTTCACAGGGTGGTTAACTAAAATGAAAAGCAAAGCACTAAGTACTAACAAATCTGTGTCACACTCAGATATCAAGTTCATCTCCAGAACTAATTTCCAAACATTGCGAAAAGAAAAGGGGTTTGGAGAGATGGCTTAGCAGCTAAGAGTCCTTGCCAAACAATCTTGAGGATGAAGCTTCAGATCTCAAAACCCATGTTTGCCAGTTCAAAACCACCTATCTCTCTGATTCCAAGGGGTTTGACACCCTCTCTTGAGTCTCCATGTTATGTGTATGCACATAAACATGTAAACTCTCCCTCACACACACAACACAAATAAACATAAAGTCTTTTAAAGAAGAAAATGGAAAATGAAAGTGTATAACTTTTACCCCAGTAGTTCGTTCTGCTTTAAAATCTTAATAAATACACCTTCAAACCTCATGTATTTCATACCTCAGGAGAGCCACAGTCACAGCCTTCCTCCACTTCCAGAAGTTGGTTCCCACAGGTTGGTTTTATTATATTTTTAGGACTAGGTGCCGACAGCAGACACCTTGCATTTCTAGATGAAAGGAATCCTTGAAAGAGTGAGCGGCTGGCAGTACTGAAATCCTTGGGGAATTTTGAACTGTAACAGAAAAAATAGTATAGCATTATATACGGTATAGAAGCTTGTGACTGATAAGTAAGTAGAAAAATCTAATGAATCTCACTGTGGGACCCAGTCCAGTGGAAACTCCAAATTTAGTCACTGTCCAGAATATCTCTATCCCGCCTATGGTGGGTGGTCATCTGTATCCTGCCTGTGGGGGGTGGTCAAATCCATGCTGTCTATATTGAGTAGTCAAATCCATGCTGCCTATGGTGGGTGGTCATCTTTATCATGCCTATAATGGGTGGTCATCTCTTATCCTACCTATGGAGGGTGGTCATTTGTATCCTGCTTATGGTAGGTGGTCATCTCTATGCTGCCTATGGTGGGTAGTCATCTCTTATTTTACCTATGGAAGGTGGTCATCTCTATCATGCCTATGGTGGGTGGCCATCTCTACCTTACCTATAGAGATGGATTGCCATCTCTATGCTGCCTATGGTGGGTGGCCATCTCTATCCTGCCTATGGTGGGTGGCCATCTCTATGCTGCCTATGGTAGGTGGTCATCTCTATCCTGCCTATGGTGGGTGGTCATCTCTATCCTGCTTTTGATGGGTGGCCATCTCTATCCTGCCTATGGTAGGTGGTCATCTCTATGCTGCCTATGATGGGTGGCCATCTCTATCCTGCCTATGGTGAGTACCCATCTCTATGCTGCCTATGGTGGGTGGTGAAGCATGTGTAGTATTCTAATGGAATGTTTTCTCTGAGTGATCCAGAAGCAGAGAGGAGAGAATTTAAGTCCTCATTGTGATGGTCCTAGTTGCATTTCTCTGAGAAAATACCCTGAAAAAAGCCAACTTGGAGATAAAGGGAAGTCAAAACAGCTAGTCACATCACATCCATCAAGGGCAAAGAAAAACGGATGCATGCACGCTCGCTTGCTTGTGCTCAGATCTATTTCTCTACTCTTATGTAGTTCAAGACCCTTTTCCTAGGGAATAGTGCCACCCAAAGCCAGCTGGGTCTTACCACATCAATTAACTTACTTAAGACAACTCCCAACAGACCCATAAGTCAACCCAACATGCAATCCTTCATTGAGAATCTGTTCCCAGATGATTATAAATTGTGTCCAGTTAACAATCAGACACTAAAGTTAATACAGGTAGGCTGCATGCCCAGCAGTAGATGACTAACTGTAACAAGAGTTCAAGATTATCCAAAGTAACAAAAGAGACGAGTGTTACCATTGTTATCATCTACTCAGCTCACACTGAGGGCTGGCCAGTGAGAGATGACAATCATGATATAGTTAAAGGAAATAAATGGAGGTTCCTATGATCTACAGGCAAACTTTCAATTTGTGAGCATCTCAAGAACAAAAGATGCTATATCCATTTTTTTTTTCTATCTGAAGTTTTGGTAAAGTAACTGGAATTATCAGATAATAAATAAATATGTTAATCAACTGCTCAGTTGATGATGGTGATAAAGATAATATCTTGGCTATCTTGGAATAAAATTATCATCATAACCAGGATAGTGTTTTTAGGTTAAAATGATGTAGTTACCATACTAATAAACTCTATGGTGGGATATTTAGAAATCTTAATGAATGATCCTTGAATTTGGTAAAATATATGCATGAAGAACTCGCAGGTTGAATGAATAGGATACCCAACCTTTGTGAAAAGGTGCCCCTACCACATATGCACAGTACATTTATTTAGGAATGGGGATTTTTCTCTTCACTTTGGAATGATACCATCTTACCTCAGGTACTGATTCATCACACAGCTGCCAGAGGGACACTTGGTGCTATATACAACATCCCTCATACCAAGGGCATGGCCCAACTCATGGGACATCACTGCTACGAGAGCCACATTATTCTTTCCTTTGGCCTGGACAAATAGAAGAACCTGTTACTTCTTATTTTATTCAGCTATTTCTCAGTCATTGTCAATGTGTAGTGTCTAATATGAATACTTGGGAGAGGAAGAATAGTGTATCCTTAAGTTCATTTTTCTGCCATTGCTTTTTGCCTAGTGTATTTGAGATGACTGGCTCCTAAAAGCACTCAGTGCTCAAGTTCAATCAAGAATACTGAGTTATTAAATACTGCATTCTCGGTAAATGAGGGTTAGATTAATTGCACTGTCTATGGAAAGTACTATTAGATGTCAAGGCATGGACACACATCAGTAAAAATGTGGTTGTAACTCTTATGCCACTGATAGCAGTGAGCACACGATGCCTCACATGTACCCTTTTCCTTCTCTGACCTCTGACCAGCTATATCAAAGGATTCATTTAGAGCTACTTGAGGCCACATAGGGACCCTGGCTCCCCTTTTTGTCTCAACATTGTGGTCCACATTCTTTAATACAAACTGAAGTATGAGGCCTTTGTCAAGGCTAACATTTCACAGTCCACAGACTCTTTAGTGCAATGGTCAAAAATGGTTTCATTTCTAGTTTGATTTATCAATTCAGCTGATTGCTCTGGTAGAGGACATAATTCTCGTCTTCATGGAGATGGAATCACAGGATATCTCAGTAGAAGTGTACAAACCTCAACAACAGACACTGAAGATGTAGAACACAAGGAATTCGCAGCTGCCATTCCTGCACGTCTATAGAGGAAGCCAGATCCACTGTGTGAAAGGTAGAGAGGCACCATCACAATCTGACTCTGGAAACCAACAACTTTGGTAATGATGTTATAGATCCCTCTTGGTGTATCCTAGCCTTCTGTATGTTAATGAGGGCCCGGCACAGCTTCTGCCATATCACAGACCCACAATTACAATTGCATTGAAGAATGTGTTTTGTTGATCTTATAAGGACCTTCACATAATTCATGTGTCAATTTCTAATAGTAGTAAGTGGTAATAAAGTTGTTTACAACTTATTGAAGAGATATGACTGAGCAGAAATTCTTGTCAAGAAGTCCTGGAGATAACCACCCACTCTGCCATCATATCCCTGCCCTGGCAAGAAGGAATTCACCTGAGAAGCTGGGCATGGTTATGGATCTTCTTTTTTCCCAGAGTAGAGTAATGCCATTTCAGGAAGTTTTGGAATGTGGCACCAATCCTGGGTTCCACCTTTATCTTATCACTGTCAGACCAGATTTCCATATCCACCAAAGACACTTGAATATCTATGGTTTTGTAAATCTGTGGGAAAAAACATTTTTTTCATTAAAACACTCAGGATTCGTTGTAATATTCTTGGTGATCACAAGTAATAGATAAAGGGACACAATAAACATCATCATTTTCCATCTTGAAAACAGAAATTCTAGAAGATGCCTTTGTTACTGTATATGATTTTTGACTTGATGAGCTCTCACCCTTAGATGATTCTTAGCCCCACACAGTGGAAGTCACAGGGAAGACCCAAGCACAGACATGGACATATACATCATGACAAATGCCTTACCACATTGAGCAGATCCATCACCTCAAACACAAAGCTTCTTATCCGAGTCACATTCCCGTTATACATCTTATACTGAAAAATAGATAATATAAAAATACAAAATTAAAATAGAAAATTGAAGTGAGAGGCTGATGGGTATAGGATTTACAGGTTTTCTTATTCATCTTTAAGTTGAATACTTTAAATCAATAGTTTAAAGTTGAATACATCAAATTAATAGTTTAAATATTTTGCATTCACTCAATATTAATTCAGATTTGATTATGAGGCAACATAAGCTCTAGCTGCTTTATATTTATGTTTCTATAAGCTATATATAGTTTTGTGTTCATATTTACATAATACCTATTAAATTGACATTTATATTTTATGGTAAAATATTAAAACAATCTAGTACTTTAGTAAAATATTTTTCTTTAATTTTTTATATAGGTATGTGCCAGTTAGCTTTTGTCAACTTGACGCCACATAGAGTCACCTAAGAAGAAGAACCTTGGTTGAAGAATACCCTTCATCAGATTGGCCAGTGGGGATCCCTGTGGAGCATTTTCTTGATTGCTTATTGATGTGGGAAGGCCCAGTTCACTGTGTGCTGTACCAGCCCTAGGCAGGTGGACGCGGACTATAGAAGAAAGGCAGCTGAGCAAGCCAGGGAAGCAAGCCAGCAGCAGCGCTCCACATGGTCCTCACCTCGGGTCCTGCCTAGATTTTCTGCCTTGGCTTCCCTTGACAACTGGCTGTAAGCCAAATAAACCCTTCCCTCCCCAAGATGCATTTGGTCATGGTGTTTGCCACAGCAACAGAAAGCAAACTAGAACATAGGTAAATGGTATTAAGTCTATTGCTGTTATATAAATATTTGGTGACTGATAATAAATGGGATGGGATGGGTGAAAACTGTTGTCAACAAAGCAGCTGAAGCAGCCAAGAAATCTAGTTGAACAAAAATGCATTGCTAACTAAAAAAGTTCATGGCTTCTTTTACTTTTAAGTTGACTTGTAAGTTGAGAGAACTAAGAAAGAGGTACAGCCATCTTTTGTACTCACAAAGGCATTATCCAACACCAAGAAGAGATCAACATATTTCTGTTCTTGAAGAAAGTCCTGTTGCAAATAACAAGAGAACCTCATTAATAATCATCTCTACTCACATCTCTATTTACATCTTTCCCTCCAAAATAATTTTTTAAAAAAGAAGTAAATAGAGGCTTTGCATATACCAGTCATTCCTGAATATATTTGTGTATCTTATATCCTTGTATAGACAGTCAAAATTCATAGGCTGTAAGAAAGCTATACTCACATTTGAGCTGTTTAAGGACCTGGAAATTCTAAAATGGCTTCGTTTCCTGCCAGCATGCTTCTCACCATGCTTGTAATTAGCTGTGTCTGCTTCCCCCTGGATGATTGGAAGAACAGCATGTTCTCCCTCATCTGTGCTCTGTAGAGGCTTTATCAGATATCTTTGATCATGATGTGTGAAGTACCCCCTGCGGGATATAAGGTTGTGTTTTAGGATGACTTGCCATGCCCATTCATACATCCCACTCAGAATAGAGTGATAACTCTGCTTCAATTCCAGTTTTACACATAGATCTTCAGTCACAGACCTTGCAAATGACAGGTATTCATTCAAATTACAATCAGCATTTGCCCAATATTGAAAGGAAACCTGTGTCATAAGGCACTAGGGTCAAAATTAATAATGGGATCTCATGAAACAGAAAAGCCTGTGTAAACAAAGGACACCATCATTCAAAGTAGCAGGCTGTAGAATAGGGAAAGATTTTTACCAACTACACATCCAATAGAGGGCTAATATCCAAAGTATATAAAGAACTAAAAAAAAAAGATATCAAGAAAAAACAATTTTAAAATAGGATAAAGATATAAACAGAGAATTTTCAAAATAGGAAAATCAAATGAATGAGAAACACTTAAAGAAATATTCAATATCCTTAGCCATCAGGGAAATGAAAATCAAAACTGCTTTGACATTTCATTTTATACCTGTCAGAATGGCTAAGATCAATAAAGCAAATGACCATTCATGCTGGGAGGGATGAGGAGTAAGGGGAACAACTATCCATTGCTGGTGGGAGTGCAAACATGTACAGCCACTATGCAAATCAGTGTGGCAGTTCCTCAGAAAGACAGAAGTCAATCTACTTTAAGATCCAGTTAACTTGGCCACAAAACAAATCTAAACAGATACAAAACAATTGGAATAACCTCCTGTGTTCTATCAGACCACCATGGTCTAAAGTTGGATTTCAACAACAACAAAAACTACAGAAAACCTGCAATCTCATGGAAACTGAATAATACTCAACTGAATCACCAATGGGTTAAGGAAGAAATAAAGAAAGAAATTAAAGACTTCCTAGAGATCAATGAAAATGAAGACACCACATATCCAAATTTATGGGACACTATGAAAGCAGTACTAAGAGGGAAATTCATAGCACTAAATGCCCACATAAATAAGTTGGAGAAATCTCACACTAGAGACTTAACAGCATACCTGAAAGCTCTAGAACAAGAAGAAGCACAGTCTCCCAGGAAAAATAGACGCCAGGAAATTATCAAAGTGAGAGCTGAAATCAATAAAATAGAAACAAAGAGAACAATACAAAAAATTAATGAAACAAAGAGTTGGTTCTTTGAGAAAATCAACAAGATAGACAAGCCCTTATCCAAACTAACCAAAAGACAGAGAGAGAGCATCCAAATCAACAAAATCAGAAATGAAAAGGGGGACATAACAACAGACATTGAGGAAATCCAGAGAATCATCAGGTCATACTTCAAAAACCTCTATTCGACAAAACTGGAAAACCTGAAAGAAATGGATAACTATCTGGATAGGTACCACACACCTAAGTTAAATCAAGACCAGATAAACTATTTAAATAGTCCAATAACCCCTAACGAAATAGAAACAGTCATTAAAAGTCTCCCAACCAAAAAAAGCCCAGGACCAGATGGTTTCAGCGCAGAATTCTACCAGATCTTCAAAGAAGAGTTAATACCAATGCTCTCTAAATTGTTCCACACAATAGAAACAGAAGGAACATTACCAAACTCCTTCTACGAGGATACAATTACTCTAATTCCTAAACCAAACAAGGATACAACAAAGAAAGAGAACTACAGACCGATCTCCCTCATGAACATTGATGCAAAAATACTCAATAAAATACTGGCAAACAGACTCCAAGAACACATCAAAACAATTATCCACCATGATCAAGTAGGATTCATTCCAGAGATGCAAGGGTGGTTCAACATACGAAAGTCCGTCAATGTAATACACCATATAAACAAACTCAAAGAAAAAAACCATATGATCATCTCACTGGATGCAGAAAAGGCATTTGACAAAATCCAACACCCCTTCATGATAAAGGTATTGGAGCGATCAGGAATACAGGGAACATATCTAAACATAATAAAGGCAATTTACAGCAAGCCAACAGCCAACATCAAATTAAATGGAGAGAAACTCAAAGCAATTCCACTAAAATCAGGAACGAGGCAAGGCTGTCCACTCTCCCCATACTTATTCAATATAGTACTTGAAGTTCTAGCCAGAGCAATAAGACAACATAAGGAGATTAAGGGGATACAAATTGGAAAGGAAGAAGTCAAGCTTTCCCTATTTGCAGATGACATGATAGTATACTTGAGCGACCCCAAAGATTCCACCAAGGAACTGATACAGCTTATAAACACCTTCAGCAACATAGCAGGATACAAGATCAACTCAAAAAAATCAGTAGCCCTCCTATATACAATGGACAAAGAAGCGGAGAAGGAAATCAGAGATACATCACCCTTTACTATAGCCACAAATGACATAAAATACCTTGGGGTAACACTAACCAAGCCAGTGAAGGACCTATATGACAAGAACTTTAAGTCCCTGAAAAAAGAAATTGAAGAAGATGTCAGAAAATGGAAAGATCTCCCATGCTCATGGATAGGCAGGACTAACATAGTAAAAATGGCAATCTTACCAAAAGCAATCTACAGATTCAATGCAATCCCCATCAAAATACCAACACAATTCTTCACAGACCTGGAAAGAATAATACTCAACTTCATATGGAAAAACAAAAAACCCAGGATAGCCAAAGGAATCCTGTACAATAACACAACTTCTGGAGGCATCACGATCCCTGACTTCAAGCTCTACTATAGAGCTACAGTAATAAAAACAGCTTGGTACTGGCATAAAAACCGACATGTGGACCAATGGAATCGAATTGAAGACCCTGACATTAATCCGCACACCTATGAACATATAATTTTTGACAAAGAAGCCAAAAGTGCACAATGGAAAAAAGAAAGCATCTTCAACAAATAGTGCTGGCAAAACTGGATATCAACATGTAGAAGGCTGCAAATAGATCCATATCTATCACCATACACAAAACTTAAGTCCAAGTGGATCAAGGACCTCAACATAAATCCAGCTACTCTGAACCTGCTAGAAGAGAAAGTAGGAAGTAGTCTTGAACGCATTGGCATAGGAGACTACTTCCTAAATAGAACACCAGTAGCACAGACTCTGAGAGAAACAATCAATCAATGGGACCTCTTGAAACTGAGAAGCTTTTGTAGAGCAAAGGATACGGTCAACAAGGCAAAGCGACAGCCTACAGAATGGGAAAAGATCTTCACCAACCCCACATCTGACAGAGGACTGATATCCAGAATATATAAGGAATTCAAGAAATTAGACATCAAAATGCCCAACAGTCCAATTAAGAAATGGGCTATAGAACTAAACAGAGAATTCTCAACAGAGGAAACTCAAATGGCCGAAAGACATTTAAGGAATTGCTCAACATCCCTAATCATCAGGGAAATGCAAATCAAAACAACTCTGAGATACCACCTTACGCCTGTCAGAATGGCTAAGATCAAAAACACTGAAGACACCTTATGCTGGAGAGGATGTGGAGCTAGGGGAACTCTCCTCCACTGCTGGTGGGAATGCAAGCTTGTACAACCACTTTGGAAATCAATATGGCGCTTTCTTAGAAAATTGGGAATCAATCTCCCCCAAGATCCCGCTATACCACTCTTGGGCATATACCCAAGAAATGCTCAACCACACCATAAGAGCACTTGTTCAGCTATGTTCATATCAGCATTGTTTGTAATAGCCAGAACATGGAAACAACCCAGATGCCCTTCAACTGAAGAATGGATAAACAAAATGTGGTACATATACACAATGGAATACTACTCAGCAGAGAAAAACAATGGCATCATGAGGTTTGCAGACAAATGGATGGATCTAGAAAAAATCATCCTGAGTGAGGTAACCCAGACTCAGAAAGACAAACATGGTATGTACTCACTCATAGCAGGATACTAGACATGAAACAAGGATGACTTGTCTGCTACTCACATCACCAGGGAGGCTACCTGGAAAACAGGACCCCAAGAAAGACACAGGGATCACCCAATGACAGAGAAATGGAATGAGATCTACATGAACAGCCTGGACATGAGTGGGGGTAATGAAAGGCGAGGGTTGAGGGAAAGAGAGCTTGGGGGAGCGGGAGATCCCAGCTGGATCAACAACAGAGAGGGAGAACAAGGAATAGGAGACCATGGTAAATGAAGACCACATGAGAATAGGAAGAAGCAAAGTGCTAGAGAGGCCCACAGAAATCCACAAAGATACCCACACAACAGACTGCTGGCAATGGTCGAGAGACAGCCCGAACTGACCTGCTCTGGTGATGGGATGGCCAAACACCCTAATTGTTGTGCTAGAAACCTCATCCAACTACTGAGGGATCTGGATGCAGAGATCCATGACTAGACCCCGGGTGGATCTCTGGGAGTCCAATTAGCGAGAATGAGGAGGGTTTATATGAGCGAGAATTGTTGAGACCAAGGTTGGATAAAGCACAGGGACAAATAGCCAAATGAATGGAAACACATGAACTATGAACCAATGGCTGAGGGGTCCCCACTGGATCAGGCCCTCCGAATGGGTGAGACAGTTGATTGGCTTGATCTGTTTGGGAGGCATCCAGGCAGTGGGACCAGATCTTGTGCTCATTGCATGAGTTGGCTGTTTGAAACCTGGGGCCTATGCAGGATTGTTTGGCTCGGCCTGGGAGGAGGGGACTAGACCTACCTGGACTGAGTCTACCAGGTTGACCTCAGTCTGTGGGGAAGGCTTTGCCCTGGAGGAGATGGAAATGGGGGGGGGGTTGGGGGGAAGGTGAGGGGGACGGGAGGGGGGAGAACAAGGGAATCCATGACTGATATGTAGAACTGAATTGTATTGCAAAATAAATTAAAATAAATTAAAAAAAAAGATCCAGTTATACCACTCTTGGACATATTTCTAAAGGACACTTCATCCTACCACGAAGACACTTGCTCAACCCTGTTCATTGCTGTTCTATTCATAATAGCCAGAAATTAGAAACAACCAAGATTTACCTCAACAGATGAATATAGTTTTTTTTTTAAATGTGGTACATTTACACAATGGAATAGTACTGCACTTTAAAAAAAATGACATCATGAAATTCGCAGGTAAATGGATGAGAGTAGAAAAAAATCATCCTGAGTGAGGTAACCTAGACCCAGAATAACAAATATGGTATTTATTTGTTTATATGTGGATATTAGCTATTGAACCAATGATAATTAAGCTACAATCTGTAGAATCACAGGTTAGGTATAAATTAAAGTGCTGGGGGGAAAGATCTCTCCAGGTAGAGTAGATAGTTATAGATGGATGAAAGAGACTGAAATGGGAGGTTCAACAGGGGAGGGGAGAGAAGAGAGGATGAACAAGGTAATATGGAGAGGGATAGCTAAAATTAAGGGCCGTTTGAGGGGGAGTATAAAAACTTAGTACAGGAAAATGCAGACATATGTGAAGGGGATCTAGATGAAATCACCAAATAATTGGGGAGACAAAGCCCCAATTGACTATCTCTTGTCACAAAACAAAGCTTCTCAGGGATTAAATAACATCTAATTGAATTGTTGGGCAAAGGGGTCTCATGGGAACCCCCAAATAACCCACACTGTTGCCAAGGATACAGGTTGTTCTCCACATTGACAGCTAGGTCCCATTGCTAAAGACAGCACTACACAACTAATTGAATATGGAGAAGTGGACTTGGTGCCTACATAGAGCCTTTACCACTATAAGCTGTCATCTTTGGTACAGGAAGGTGCTCTGCATGCTACCAAAAGAGAAATGTAAACACCAACAAAACCCCAAACCCTTTGATCTACAATGGTGTTCTGCCTGCAAGATATGTTAGTGCAATGGTGGCGCAAAGCTTGCGGATGTAACCAGCCAATATCTGATTAGACTTAAGGCCCATTCCATGAGATACTTGACACTGCTTAGGTGACCAAGAACATGAGACTAGATAGCTCAGGGACCTAGGGTAAAGTCAAATACTATTGTTCTGAAAAAAAATTGTCGATATGAAATGATTCCTAATGACATTCTGCTCTACTCATAAATCAGTGTCTTGCTCAGCCATCATCAGAGAAGCTTCCTCCTGAAGCAGATGGTAACAAATACAGAGACCCACAGCCAGACATTACACAGAGAGTGAGAGACCCTGCGACACTCAGTCCTAAATGGGAAGTCTTGGTCAAATTCCTCCCCCTCAAGGCTTAAAAGGAACCCTGAGGAAGAAGAGTCAGAAATAGTGTAAGAATCAGAGGGGATGGAGGACACCAATTTAAAAAGATCTTCTAAATCAGCAGGGTAATGCACATGTCAACTCACAAAGGCTGAGAGAGCATGTGCAGGGTCTGCATAGGTCTGCAGCAGATAGGGTCCTAGAGCTAAAAGGAGAAGTGGACACATGTCCCCATCTCCAACTCAGAAGCCATCTCCTTTGATAACCACTTGCGAATGAAAATTCGGCTTTCTCCAAGGGAGTCTCACTGGGGAAACAAACTACTCTTAAGAGTAGGCTGTATACCCAGCTACTTGCCAACAGAAAAGGAACTCAATGTTATCATTGGAGGTTTTGTCTCATAATTCCATGTTAGGGCTTTAAAATACATACATATGTGTATGTATACATACATTTTTTATTTTATTTTATTTTATTATTTATTTTTTTCTCTATTTTTACCTTATACGTCTTTGCATATGTATTTATGGTTTCCTATTTAGTGGTTTTTACAGGATTCCTGAGCGTGAGAGTGAGTGGGTGTCTGTGTCTGTATCAGTTTCTTGTGTCTCTTCTTGGGCTCTTTTCCTTCTGGTTTTTTGTTTTATCCTATTCCTATGTATTAGTTTTTGTATTGCCATAGTATAGTGTCATATAGTATAGTATAGCATAATACAGTACAGTATTGTATAACATAGCATAGTGTAGTATAGTATAGTACAATATAGTATAATTATCCCTTAGAATCCTGTTTATTTTCTAATAAGAGACAGAAAGGAGGTAGAACTGGATGGGTGGAGATGGTGGAGGAACTGGGAGGAGTAAAGTGAGGGGAAGTCATAATCAGGACATATTATGTGAGGAAAAGGCTATTTTCAATAAATGTAAAAAAAAGTGAAATCTATGCCATTTACCAGAGTAGCCTCAAGAATTAATAAAATAAAGTAATTCCAAAGAATTTGGAGTTAACACCATGAGTCTATTAAATATTCTCCAACAGTTTGCTTATTCATTTGTCAAACATTTCTTGACAGTTTCTATGAACAGAGTGGAGAACGGAGTAAATGACTATTTAGACACTCAGAACTCTAGAGAGAACAACAAAAGGTTCATTTAGAACTGCTGGGGAACAAACTGGGACTAAGAATAGCTTAAAGACTCCTTTTCTCTGAAGATAATTAGCTTAGAACTAGAAAGTTACTCCATATGTTGATATATTGTAAAGCCATTGTAAACGCCAGCAAGAAACTATGTCCTGGAGGCACTTTGATAATGCAGAAAAAGTGATGTCATGTTAAATATGAATCATGCTAGAATAACAATTACATGTTTTATTTCACATTTTAATCACAAGAGAGACTTAAAAAAACTACACACACGACATGTTAGTTAAGAAAACATAGCCGGGCGGTGGTGGCGCACGCCTTTAATCCCAGCACTCGGGAGGCAGAGCCAGGCGGATCTCTGTGAGTTCGAGGCCAGCCTGGGCTACCAAGTGAGTTCCAGGAGAGGCGCAAAGCTACACAGAGAAACCCTGTCTCGAAAAAACCAAAAAAAAAAAAAAAAAAAAGAAAACATGACAGACACAAAAGATACCAGGAGTGAGGTAGATGAACTTGGTAATGGACACAGATGTGGTTGAGGTCCAGTGTTCAACTTTGACAGAGCTGGGACTGACTTCTAGAGCAACAGTTAATGAAGTGACTGTACCACGATAGTTTGCTCTTCAGTTTACCATAGAGTCCAGTGGTTTATGGATTAGTGGTGAACAAGAACAATCCAAATAGTAAGAAGGCAACAGAAGATATGGGGAAGACTTAAGGCTGTGTGACAAAAAGTCTCTTAGTATTTAATATGCTCTATGACAGTTCTCACCTCAATCCATCACATGTACTGATACTGGCAAGAGAGTCCCTTGCATTCAGGATGTGGCCTTCGTAGTAGCAGGGTTTCTGGGGTAGAAAATATATTGCACTATTTAAATGTAGACATTTTACACACACAAACACACACACACACATGCACGCACACACATGCAGGCACACACACATACAAAGTAAATAAATAAATACACAAATAATAAATAAATATTTTTAAATGACTTTAGTTAAGTTTATGGGGATGTCTAATTGGGTGTGTAGGTACATTAGCATTGTGTGTATGAGTGTTACTGTGCGTCCACTCTTATCTTTGAAAAGTTGTCTCTCTGACCATGAATAATCACTTATCTTCCCAGTCATTTGATGCATTTAAAAGCTATCCTCAGGCCTATGTATTTTACAAGGCAAATGGCCGATCCCAGGATGGATTCAGAGCCTACCACATCCTGAGAGCGTCTGGTCGCCTCTTCTCCTCTGGCTGAGTAAGATGTTTCAGTACAGTCTTGCCCCAGGAGATGCCTGTGGAGAGTAGAAAGCTGCATAATGCACTCATGATACCAACAAATACTGATTTATCTGTCATCATCTTCTGTACTATGGGAATAACTGTGTATACCGAGTTGACTTTTGACCATTGATCTTTTTCCAACATTGGGACTTTCCTAGTAAAATAAATCAAAGCATGAAGTTACACTTATTAACCCAAATAGGGGAATTCACTCAATTACTTTTCACTTGCAGATTCATCTTCAAACATGAATGGGTAGAGTCTTGATGGGATTCTTTGGAGCAAGGACAGGGACTTTGGAGGGTGCTGAGTCACAGGTATGGGTAAGAGACCAACAAAGGAGGCTCACTGACTGTTAGAAAACTCATGATACCCCTTCTTTCTTCCCCCAGAATCTATCTCTAGGTTGTGTACCCTGATTCAGGCTTAGGGGTAATCTTGTGAATGTATGGGTGGGTGGGGAGGTCTCTGTATGTGCATGTTTGTGTGTAATTGCATATGTTGCAGCATATACATGGAGATCAGAGGACAAACTCCTATGTGAGTCCTCACCTCCCACCTAGTTTGAGACATCTTTATCTCTTGTCTCACTGTGTAAGACAAGCTAGCTTCTGGAGGGTCTACTGTTTCTGCCTCTTATTGGGCATAGCAGCCCCTGTGGACATTTGTGGGTGATTGTCTTGGGTGCCTTAACTAATGTGGGAAGACCAAGCCTGAAAGTGCACTGGATGACACCATTCCTGGATTTGGGGCCTTGGAGTGTTAGAATAGACAAAGTTAGCTGAGCAGGAAACATGCTCCCATCCTAACTCTCCTTCTGACTGTGGGTGAGATGTGACCAGTTGCTTCAAGATCCTGCCACTGTGATTCCCTGCAATGATGAACTGCAGCCTGGAACTGTAAGCCAAAGTCACCGCTTTCTCCCCTAATATGATTTTGTCAGGATATTTTATCACAGCTGCAGAAATAAAGCCAAAGCCAAGAAGTGTCCCAATATTCTGATAATACAACCAGTGGCTGGGCTTTCAGGAAATAATTGTCCTTACTTGGTTCTCTTCAGGTGAAAGATAATTTCTTCTCCATTTAGTATGATCTGATATTGAACTTCAGGCGCATATTTTTCCTGAAAATATTTAATAAAGTAGTTATAAGTACATAGTTCTCAGCCAACCTAAAAATGATAACACACCAATTATGTACACTATGCATTAAAATAGCAGAAATACAGAAGTTTAAAGCATTTCTCTTACATCTTATCTCCTATATCTAAAAAAATGTAATTTGTATATTAATACGGATTCCTAAAACATAATCACTTGACAGCCACACACATTAATCTATCTCTATTCTGTGACACAGAGACTTGTCATTTGCTTTAATGCATAATATACTATCCTGTGTACCATAAGAACTTACCAACAGGACAAGAAAGCATCATATCTTGAAATATATTTCCATTGAAATATACTATAAAATGGTTTTAAAAATCCACTAAGAATTAAGTGATAAATATTACAGAATGAGGAAACATTGGCAACATGGTAGAATACCTTTCTACATTGCAGAAAAGTATAATCACTGGGGAGTGGGTGGGCGAAGAGAAGGCAGGAGTATGAAAAGGCTGAAAGGAAAGAATGTCTCCTTCTAAAACTATCTGTCTTGCTTGTGAGTCCTTTGCTCTCACAAATTTGAGGGCACATCCAAGAAGCTTTGCCTTTATTGTCAAGTTGGGCAGTTGCTTCTCTGATGTTAAATTATAACCAGGTCCTGAGAAGTCAAGGCTGTCTCTCCTCCACAGAGTTAAGATGAGACTGCTGCTCAGGCCACAGCACCTGTGGCAGCCCCTCCTCTCTCACAGATACTGACACTGGCATCCTCCCCAGAGCACTGTCTGCAAAGCTTTAGCTAACAGACTTCCAGGTGTCCAGATTGCCCACCTTAGGAAGTAACCTTACAAACTGGGACATTTTGAAGGGCTACTACTGGCCAAGGATCCTGTTCCCAGCCTCCTTCCTTGCTCTCTGGGAATCAAAGAGCTTGTCTGTAGACTCCTGTTGTAGAAACCCCAACTTCCTCAGAAACCTGTAAGAGGGAACCCCTAAACTTTCCCCTTGAGCCTGATTCCATTTCAGAGACCTGTCATGTCTATCTTTGGTGCTGGGGCATGAACTCCCTTAAGACATCTAGCCATGCTGTTGTCTGCCTATTTGTTTGTCTGTGGTTTAAGGATGTTTCTGATAAACTTCATACCCCAAGAACCCTTCTGTGTCCCCCTTGAGCATCACATCTTAGAGTCTTCAAAAGCTTAGCTCATAGAGGGACTGCGAGATGAAGCTGCTGGAAGTTGACTCTGATATCACACTGCTCCCCAAAGCCCTTCATTTTTGTCCTCAGGGGATTGTGACACGTGACTTACCTCTTTGGCATCGCTCTCTGTCTGATTGTGCTCGGATCCTCTTCTGTGTGAAAAGGGTAATTTTTTAGGACGAACTATTTCATGGAGCTTTAATTCGGGGGCCGACTTTGTATCTATCACTAGAAAAAGCCAGAAAACTTTGGTAAGAAAGACTGACAGGGTTCTGACTTGTTTGGCCCATTGCTTTGTCCTGTGGACGTGAATTAACCATTCAAAACAGACTGATTGCTGCCCTGCCTCAATTTCAACCACAAAGGATTGTTTCCTGTCTCCCTACCTTCGAGAACAACATGGAAAACTGTGTACCTCCTTGTAGAGAAGCAGTTCATCTTGCATTAAGAACACTGATTGGTAAATCAGGACTCCGCCTATAGTAACTGGGGGCATTCCTTTGCAGTCCTCTTCAATTTGCAATTTCTCTGACCACCCTCTCTAAAAATGAAGATTTCCATGTGCAAGTAACACTTTACTCTTAGGAGAGACCCTATTCCCAATGATTTCATGCCTCTGTTGACAATAAGCCAAGATGATCTTTCTTTACAGTTTTACCCTCAAAACTGTAGGTCTCACAGGATATAAAGCTCTTATTGACCTTTCTCAGAGAAAATTTAAAGAAATGGAGAGCACATGGGGAAACTTTTTATAATAAAAGGTTCTTCTTAATGTACTTCAAGTTATGCCAGATAGATAGTTTCTCTTGTTTACAAATGGTAAGGAAAGAAATGATTCAGAGTCAAAATTTGTGACTTGCTGTCCTAGCTAAAAGGCTTAATGAAAGTCACTCTGCCTTCCTATCCCTTGTCTATATAGATTAGTATAAAAGCTGCACGTATAAACTGTGTGAAACTCTGCAGCCCTGTCACAGAAAAATGAAAGCACATCTTTTCTCTTTTTCAGGAATTCTGCAATTGTTCACATAGGCCAATCAGCCCATTGAATGCTTGTGTTTCCACAGCTTTGAGACAGAGTCTTATTAGGGCAATCAGAGTTCTTTAGTGGTGAGACACTTAACTAAATTATTGTGTAAATAGCAGCCATAATTGTGACCACAGAGTTCACTGATTAAATGGACTTAAAAAGATTTCATTAGTATATATGTATACATGATGCAATTATTGTCAATGTTATTCTACTGATGTTATTCTACTTTACCATCTCTTTGGGAACCTCATGAGGGATTAACAATGTAAGAAACATATGAGAAATACAAAGACTACAGCCAACCCTAGATCAGAACCTTTGCATAGGATCATTGAACAAGTAGTGACTGTTTGAGCTTAGATAAATTCCTAGTTGTAGTCTTCAACTGTTTCAGCAGAAGATTTACTATGTACATGTTTGTGAATGGAAATGTGCAGGCTCCCAGCATCTGACTCTTTAACATGATTATGATACCACCACTAGCAAGATAACCAGTGATGGCATTGATGCACTTCACTTATACGTAATGTAGTAAGGAAACAGATAATGGTTATCAAGTTGTTGGTTAATCTCTCAATAATTGGCTTCGAAGGGAGAGTTACCTTTCCAGGAGTTTTCTTTTGACTATGCCCTACTACTGAGAATCCTTCCCTACTACTGAGAAATATCCCAAAGTACCAATTCATAAATAGCCTTGATTAATGACTATGTCAATACAGTTTCACTTACTAATATAAATGTAAATAGAAGAATAAATCAACATTTGTTTCATCTATTTTGAAAAATGTCATATATACAAGCATGATTTTTATTTGATGAAGTATATGAGATTTGAAAAAAAGTGAGCTTTAGAATACATGTTTCACATGTGATCTAAAAAATAACCATCATCCATATATATGTATGTATAAACTACTATGAATGTATATAAGTATATAGTTTACTTCAGGAGATAAAGACACAAGAAATACACTGTGTAAACTGTACTGACCTTTGCATTGTGAGTGAAAAGGTCATTTTTCTCATGTGTATACTCATCAAATAATCTGATTTTTTTCCTGTAAGATGTCTACACTTACCTTGGGTTTGAATGATGAGCCAAAGGACAGAAAGCAGGACCCAAGACATGCTGGCTTCTGTGGGTAGCTGAGGGGTCCCAGGCAGCATACAGTTATGCTCTCTCCAGTGGCCAGTTCTGTCTCCCTCTAGTTCTCTTTAGGAGTTGAAAAGGAACATAGAGTCTCGAATTTTACTTGTGAGGTTAATGGATGTTTCCTAATTGTGTTGTGGACTGGCCAGTGAACTGCAGCATCAAAATCCTGAGAATGTCCCTCCCTTGAGAACAATGTTTACATCTGTAGGGAGGCTCATTAAGGGCTCTCAGCTGGGCAGCTGCGTGCCTGAGTTCTATCCTGATAGGATTATGAAGGCTGAGACTCAGGGCCCAAGCACTAAATTAAACACACGTTTGCAAATGTATAAAATGTCACTATTGTGCCCATATTTTAAGAAACTGGCACAGAAAGTATGCCGTCTTTTAATTTTTTTCTTTTATTTTACACATAGGGGTACTTTGCCTGCATGTATTTCTGTGCACTACACACACATGTGTGGTGCCTACTGAGGCCAAAAGAGGGTGTTGGGTCTCCTGGAACTGGAGTTACAGATGGTTGTGAGTTGCTATGTGAGTGCTGGGAATTGAAATCAGGACCTCTGGAAGAGTAGCCAGTGCTCTTAACCACTGAGCCATCTCCCTGGCCCCAAGTGTGTCATCTTAAAAACAGCACCGGGCAAAATCTTGCAAACTTTAATAATAGAAACTTCTCTGTTTTTAAATGTTAAAAGGAGATTCTGGTAATATTGACTACAAAGTTTCTTTCAAAGTACCTATGAGGTGAGACAGACACGTAGGCATATGCACACACATACAGAACTGCAAGGAGACTTACATGTGTAAACAGTCTGAATAGTGTTAGCTTTACCCCAACCGCATGCATATGAATCTGTTTGAACTATACAATGAACTCTGCTTCAGTCAAAGCAATATGTCTTTCTGATTACCAAAATGTTATATATTCATTCCTTAAACAGAAGCATAGAGAAGGATAATAATTAATCAACTGATGGCCCAACAGCAGGAAATGAACTCTGTTGACATGTGCACAGTTCAATTTCATTTGTCTTTTATGCAGTGATATGGAGAGACTAGTAGAAGAATGTCGATCCCACTGAATAAGAACTTTAAGGCACTTGATATTTTTGCATAGCATTACACTGTAAGAATCTTGATGATATTGAATAGTAAAACAATACTGGAAGGACCTTTGAATATTGCATGTTACATGTAGCTATGGGCATTGTTTTGACTCTTAGGATTAATTTCTAAAAATGGTAATACATAGTTGAAAAGTACAGATCAGTTGGAAGTTATTGTCCCAAAAATGACTCAGTGACTTTAGGCAGTTGGCCCCACACTAAACTTCCCCTGAGAAGACTTCTCCTGCCTGCAAGTCATGACTTCTAACCGCTGACCACACCCTGTTGTCACACTTGAATCTGTCTGTCCTTGTGCGTCCTCTTCTTCCTCTTGAACTGATGCTGTGCAACCCCATATTTCCTTTTACTGGTCCAGAAGATAAGCAGTTTTAACCTTTCGCAGTTGTTATGAAAATATTAATATTGTATAATAATTTGTCTTTCAGCATAAACTACTAAGAAGCTCCTGGAATGTCTTAACACTTACTAGTTTCCCATCTTGCATGTTACTCTCAAGTGTTTTAGTATCAAGGAAACTGAGAGAGCAAGCAAGAGGGTACATGGGAGATACTGGATGGAGGGGAGGGAAGGGAGAAAATAATGTAATTATATCTTAATTTCAAAAGTTAAAAAATAAAAATACAACAGTAACAAGAATCTTTAAGAAAGAACAAGGAAAAACAAGGATGTAGGCCTGAGAAACATTTAGCTCATAAAACTGTCACACTCGCTGACTGATTAGCTGAAGCAGCAAGGGACACAGAGGTCTGGAACGAGTTCCAGTACTCAGCTTGACAACAGCATGTGTTTTATAGCTGGCAAGTTCCCATTTGGTGCCTTGATAAGAGTTGAAGTCTGTCAGCCCATCAAAGACAGGAGATGCATCTCTTGCTGTGCCCTTGAGAAGCACAGCATTTTGAAGATCAACGTTTAGCAACCTTCATTGAACAGACACTCAATGCAAAGACTTTGAAAACAACTCTTTGGGACCCTTTTGATGTTTACCAGATAGCTGAATATCAGTCTATAAATTAAAAGTGTGGAAATAACAGTGAAGAAATTGTTTACTAAGTACATCTGGAGGAGATGAGAAATGGCATATGTACAAATGTTTTAATGTTGAATCTGATTTTCAAGAATCAACTAAACATAGACCTTAACTTATGACCATAAAATTAAGGAATTTTAACCAACATCCTGATTACAGAGAATTCTGTTCCCATAAAGCTTGCAACATTTTTAGATATTTCATAATAAAGTATTTTGGGTGTTTTAAGTTGATGTCTAAATATCGTCTAACTAGAAATTGAAACAGAATTTGCACGTTCACAAAATTATAATAATCCCTTATATATTTAAAGATTTTCACATTTTTAAAATTGTTTTTAATTTTAACAATAACAATGAAGTGTAAATTCAAAGACTATCATTCTCATTGTATGTATTACTCAAAGAATTTAAGAGATGTACTCCAGTTTTCATGGACTATCTTAAGTATATGTCTCTTAAGTCATTGAGGTGGAAAAAGGGGTAATTGATATCAAGACCAAAGTACCGCAAATATTTGATTGTAGACAATTTTCATAATGACTTCAGTTGTCTCTATGATGACGTCTATACCAATACTATTTGAGTGGACAGGAGTTAATGGGATGGCTGACAGGTTTAAGGTGGGAAGTAACGTCCTTTCTCTGAAGTAACTGCCCAGGAATTTATTTGCTCTTGACTGGTGTTAGGATAAAGATAGACCCATTGCCTAAGCTGGTACAACAGGACATTGGAGTTACTCAATGAATTTTTCCAAGCTGAACTTGTCCAAACCTCTGGGAATCCATAAGGAAGTGAGTTGCGTAAATGATGGTCATAGCAAGCCACTGTACATCCATAGGTAAAGACTACTGTAATAAACATGAAAATGCATGTATATCTTAAGAATGCTGATTTACTTTAGACATACAGTCAGAAGTGGAACAGTTAGATAACACAGAAGACCAAATTTTAAGTTTGCAAGGAGCCTCCATAGATTTTTAGACCAACAAAAAATGAGTGTACTATTGTTTGTAAATGCTTACTAATCTACATCCCCCTCTACCAGCAGAAAGCTCCTGTCTCCACATTCTCTAGCTTTTGTTATTTTAGTAATAACTATTCCGAATGGGGCAAGATGACATCTCAGTATAATAGTCTTGTTTTTCGTTACCCTGTGGCTAACTATATTGAACTTTGTTACCTATCTGTTGGCCACTTGCCTTACTTCTTTTAGAAGAATCTACTTGGAACATTTGTTCATTTTAATTAGGTTGCTTGCTCTTTTGGTTCATTTGGAGCTCTTTTTATAAAATTCAGTCTTTTGTCAGATAAGTAGTAGTAGCCAAGTATCACCTCCCATGCTGTAAGCTTTTTCTTTGTTCTGCTGATTGTTTCTTCCACTGTGTAGATTTTGAGTTTGATGTAATCCCACTTGGCTGTGTTTCCTGAGCTGTTGGAATCATATTATTGAAATGATATCCTTGCTTATTCCAGTCTCTTAAGTATTTTACCCACACTTTCTTCTAGTAGTTTCAGAGTTTGGGGTTTTATATTTAGGTCTTTTATCCATTGCATTATACTATAGTAGAAGATGAGAGGTAGGGGTCAAATACTAACATTCTGCCCATGAATAATTTCCCAGCACCATTTACTGCAAATATCATCTTTCCTGTGGTTTAGTTCTATTTTTACTTTTTGAGTCAGTTCTCTATGGATGTGTGGGTATGTTTCTTGGGTCTCTATGCTGTTCCAATGATCTGAGTGTTCTTCTGAACCTAATACCATGCTGCTCTGGTTACATGGCTCTGTAGTATGTCTTGAAATCACATATTGTGATGTCTCCAGTTCTGGTTTCTTCACTTTTCTTGAACTTTTTGGGTTTCTTTGTGCTCCTATGTACATTTTAGGTTCCCTGTCACCATCAGCAGAGTTTGTGAAAAATGTCACTGCTAATCTGATGGAGAGTACACTGAATGTGTAAATCGTTTAGGTAGTACAGCTATTCCACCAAAATTGTATCATCCAACCCATGAATGCATGTGTAGATGGGTATTTTTCCATTTTTGTTGTTTCAATGTATTTCATTTTTATAACAGCTTATTTCTTTTACATGTGTCTATCAATATTTGCCTAAAAGTAACTATACCATGTGAGTACAGTTCAAATGGATTTCAGAAGAGGGATGGCCGTTGGCCACTTTATTGGTACTGGAAATTGAAACCCAAAAAGCAGCAAATGTTCTTAACTGCTGAGCTATCTCTTCAGCCCCATCACTTCTATTTACTAAAATATAGTCTTCTTTTCTTTTCCTTTCCTAAATTCTCTGGCTAAGATCTTCCTACAACGTTGAATACATGAGATAAGAGTTGACATCCTTGTCTTATCCTTGATGTTAGAGGAAATGGTTTTCCCCATTCAGCATGGTGTTCGCGGTGGGTTTGCCATGCATTTCCTGTTGTATTTATCATAAATAGGTTTTAGTATAGTGAGGTACAATCCTTTTATATATAACTCATTCAGAGTTTTAATCATGAAGGGAATTTCATCTTAAGCTTATTCTATGCCTATTTATATAATACAGATTTTTACATTCATCTCTGCTTATATGGTATGCTATATTTATTTTGTATATGTGCATTTTTGGTATAAATCCTGCTTGGTCATAATGAATAATCCTTTCAATGCTTCATGGGATTCAGTTTGTGAATGTTTTGTTGGGGATTTTGCATCTGTTTCTCTGGGGATGTTTATCTGTAGTTTGTTGTATCATTTTCGGGTTTGGCAGGAGTAGAGGAGTTGTTTAGAAGTTTTATGGCGTGCTGGCTCTCCCTTCTTCTTCTGATCCTTTGCCTAGATTGGGTAGACTTTCTCTGGGAATTCTCTTGTTTTGTTTGGTTTTCATTGATATTTCTAGGTTAATGGTGTCTTCAAACCCAGTCTAGGCAAACAGAAAATTCAGGGAACTCAGCACCCTATGATTCTTGCACTCTGAGGTCCAGAAGGCCTGCCTTCTGCACTTTATGTTTACAGTCTTGTGTTTGTTTTGTTAATTCTATCTTGGTGGGGTTTTAGTCGTGCTTTTATGGGAGTAAGATGATATAGGACATTTACTACATCTATTTGACACAATTGTTCTTGAGGGGCTTATTTCTATCTTGTTAAAAATGTGTGTCTACTAAGACCTGTTCATTGGCCTTTTGATATCCAAAGATCCATCCTCAAACTTCCCATTCCCTGTGCTAATATTCTTTACTCTTCGTAACTGGTGTGTTTTTGTAAAGGCTTGTCAAATTTAATTTTCTTTTTGAGTAATATATGTTTGACTTTGTTATTGGCTTTAATATTTTATTGTAGGTAACTTTATTTTTTACTTTTAAAATAACATTTTATGTATTTATTTTAATTTGTCAATTTATGTTTACTTTTTATTATTTCAAAGTAATTGAGTTTAAACTCATGGAACATAAGTATTGGGGGTTGTATACTTCCTTGGATTATTCAGCACAGTGTTTGTTTTTTCATTTTTCTTTATTAAGAAATTTTCTACTCACTCCACATACCATCCACAGATCCCCCCTTCTCCCTCCTTCCACCCCCAGCCCTTTTTCCCAAGCTACCCACATCCCTCAAATTGAGGTCTCCCATGGGGAGTCAGCAGAGCCCAGCATACTGAGTCTAGGCAGGTCCAAGCCCCTTCCCACTACACCAAGGCTGCAGCACAGTGTTTTTTGTTATTAATCATTTAACGTTATTTCAGAATATATTTCTTTGACTCTTGAGACGTTGT